GCCTGTTGAAATCGACGATAAGTTCGCAGTCTCATCCCCCCCCCACCTCACGATGATGACCCAGCCGACCCGGGGTGCAGTTGCAAAAGGTCTTCTTGAGGAGCAGCAGATGGCGGATAGTAAATAGAAAGAGAGGGAGGAGGGGAGGCGGGAGGCCTAGAAGGGCTGATGCAACAGCAAAGGCCAACCGCCCAGTCCTGGCAAACATGGTTAGTCCACTCACTCCTCCTCGGGGCATCACTCCAGTAACACCAGCTCCAAAGGTCTAACAATCTGAGTCTGGAGGTCCAATAGGCCCAAATCAATAAGCTCACTTCCTTCTGCCCCTGCCTTCTCCCTTTCAAAACACTGCTGCTGTCGTCGCAAGCCAGCAAGGGGGTGAAGGAAATTCAGGAGCACTCAAAACGTCATCGAGGGGTCGCTTAGAGCAACCCCCTCCCACCAAACGCTCCCCCCCGGCCTGCCCGACAGATGGTCTCTCCCGGGGGACTCCCCCCTTCCAAAGCCTGGGAGCTCTGTCACTCGAAATTCCTGTTTTTACTCTTTGCAAAGCCGCCATCGTTCTCAAAATGCCGCTGCTATCATCGCCGCTGCTATCGTCACAAGCCAGCATGAGGGTGAAGGAAATTCAAGAACGCTCAAAACATTGTCCAGGGGCCACTTAGAGTGACCCCCTCCCACCAAACGCTTCCCCCGGCCTGCCCGACAGATGGTCTCTCACAGGGAACTCCTCCCTTCCAAAACCAGGAGGGGTAATGGGGAGAAAAGTGGGGTGAAAGGAGAAGGTTGTGATTTTTTTTTGTTTGCACATGTTTAAATGTGTCACATTTTGCACCCAGGTCTCCTTCGGTCCTGTGTTGGATGGTTGCAGCAACTTGGGGTCAGAGTTCGGGTGGGCGCAGCCCTTTTGTCACCCTCCACTACCTCCAGGAGGGACAAGCGGTGGAGGAAACTTGCCCCCTAAGGTTAGCAAGGCTCTGGAAAAATGATGTGCTTTGCCCAACCCATCACATGTTGCCCAGCGGTCATGCAGAAGAAGTCCGGTGAAGGAAACCCAAAAGTCCTGCCACCCCACCCCCACCCACTCTGTCTCTCTCGCTTTCTCCACGTGGCTTATCAACTTCTCGGGACGCTGCCTGGCAAAGCTCATGCCAAGCGGGTGCCACGCCTCTTTTGGGCAACCAGGTTGTGTTTTTACCTTTTGGTTAAGCGTGCCCAAATGGCCGCTGAAGTGGCTCACCCTTCTCTTTCCTCTTGGTGCCTTTTGGGAAGCACTGCTCCCACAGAGGGAGATCACTTTGATTCAGGGAACCAGGTTTTGAATGCAGCCAGGCAGCTTTTAGAGGAGTTCAGACACTCCCTTACAGGTAGCTGCAAATGTCATCTATTCCCCTCTATGAGAGGAGGAGGAGGAAGAGGAAGAGGAGGCTGCACAAGTGGGGAAGCTTGGAGGTTAAAGGAGAAGGGGAGAGGTGCTGAAAAAGTCAAAGCCCCCCCTCCCTCCTTCCCTCTTTTTTGTCAGCAGTCTCCCTCCCCCATCCCAAGCACACCCTCTGCCTCATCTCTACCCTGTCCAGCTGGCGCAACTCTGTTTTTGCAAAGAAAAGAAAAGGAGGAGGAGAAGAGGGGGGAAAAAGTCCCAGGGCAAGAAATGCCCCTTGCGGGATACCTAATACCCCATTAAGCTGCACCTTCCCAAACACCACTTTCCCTTCCCTTCCTCTCCTGCCCCACCCTCTCTCTCTCTTGATGAGCCCAAGCCATCATAACCAGCCAGATTCACTCGCTTGCTTGGCGATGACATTTTTCAAAAACTGAAGAGGAGTCTCACGGCTCCACCCATCCCCTAATAATAAGGCCACAGCCATATTTCGAGGGTGAAAAGGAAATTAAATCCTCTCTTATTTTGGGGAAAACACGGTATGTATGTACAGTATGTATGTATGTATGTATGTATGTATGTATGTATGTATGTATGTATGCATGCATGCATGCAGGTAGGTATGAAATCTCCAAAGTAGGTCAATCCTAACAAAAATGACAAAATTAACATCTTTTCTATTTAATGGCTTCATTGATCCTGGAAGATCTGCATTTGAAAAGTGCTCTACCTGTCTGAATTGAGATGGTTCCTTCTGGACAAGGGGCACATTGGTAGCAGCAAACCGGCTTGCCCTCTGGAACGTTTCTCCTTTCTCCTGCCTGGCACCTCTTCTTGCCACACCTGGCAAAGGACACCTTCTAGAAGAGAAAGGAAGAAATGTATGATATGGTCTGTGCAATGAACATACTTCATTTATTCATTTCCTATTTTGCTGTTGAGAATATCTAAGGTTTGGATCTTGAACCTCAGAGTGCAAAGGAAGGCTTGTTAATTTGAGCTACAGCTTTTCTAAAAGAAAGAATGATAAAGATCCAACTGAACAGGAGTGGTTGATGAAAATCACTGCCTGATCAAATAGCATTCTAGTTTCAAGGAGGGTTCTTCCCATTCCCACCCACTGATGGACGGTTCACAAATTAGACCTGAAATGTGTTAACCTCAAATGAAGATAATTCACCAAATACCAAAAGTCTTTTCAGATTCAATAGACCTTAGAAGGATGTTCAGCATCGCCAGGAGAAAGTGATTGTCTTCCTGAGTTCACCACATTTCCTTCCGGCTCACCTTTGAGGCCCAGATGATCGCATCAGAGTTAATGGTGAAATCCTGGCCTGGGGCAGCCCTGGGATCCTTGTGCCCAACTTTCACAGAGACTAAAGTTTTATTGGGGTGGAAAACCCAGTTGACAATAACAAAATGAGGAGTTCCCAGTCCATTTTGTGAGAAGGAGATTTCATCTCCAGCACTGTTGTTGAAGTGGACATTCCTCAAATTAGCAAGAATCTGAAAGAAAAAGGATCTTCAGAAATGGGAGCAATTAGCTGAAAGTCAGAAGTGAGACATCATGGCTTCTATAATTCTTTGCTGCCCATCATCTTAGGAAACAGGTATATAACTAAAAAATAAGAGTTGGTCCCTTCTTTGATATCTGAGCAATGAGGAGTAACACCAAATATTTGGCTCCTTTGACATAACAATACAAAAGTTTCTCTTTATAATTGGGCTTTTATATTTTGGCTTCCACAAGATTTAACCAAAGGTAGAATTATGGTAGTTAAATACAAAAACTTTAAACCCACATTCCAATTTTTTATTATACTGTGGTTTTCCTCGTGTGATATTTGGCTATACAGTTTTTTTAATGTACATTTAAAAGCTTCCATATAACAACTGCATTTTTTGAATGATTAAATAATTGATATCAGAAGAGTGCACAATTCTGAAGACTTTCTCTAGTTGATCATCTAAGAGAAAATAATGCAGGAACCAGATGTGATCAAGTGGGGTCACATGCAATGAAGTGCCTGGCCTGAATTCTCTCTTCACTGCATACAAAGGTTCAGTTTTTAGTCAGAACAAGGACATTTTGAGGAACTTCAGAGCAGGAACCCATTAGGTCCACTTTGAGTCTGTTCTGTCGATTAAGGCTGATGAAGGCTGATGTCACCAAGAACACAGGACAAGAAGCAATGGATGGAAACTAACGAAGGCGAGAAACAATATAGAACAAAAATTACAATCAGAATAGAGCTGGAAAGGACTCTATTCTCTAAGGAAGGTCTTCTAGTCCATCCCCTTCTGAAGCAAGAAATTGTAAACCATTTCAGACAACTAAAGGTCCAGTCTCTTCTTCAAAACCTGCAGTGATGAAGCACCCACAACTTCTGAAAGCAAGCTAGGTTAATTGCCTTCACTGTTAGGAAATTCCTTCTTAATTCCATGTTGCTTCTCTCTTGATTATTTTCCATCCATTGCTTCTTATCCTGCTCTCTGATGCTTTGGAAAATAAATTGACCCTCTCCCCTTTGTGGAGAAATTTCCTGAGAGTGAGAAGAATTAATTAGTGGAATGACGTGCGTCCAGAAGTGGTTTGTGCTCCAACACTGGAGCTTTTAAGAAAAGATTGGAAAGCCATTTGTCTGGAATAGAATGGGGTCCTCTGCTTGAGCAGGGGAATGGACTAGGAGACCAATCTTGTGAGGTCATGTAGGATCCTAACTCAGAGAAACATAAAAGAAGGTGAAAATTAAGTGAGCTGAGTATCTTTTTACAGGTTGAATTCAGATTAAATACTGAGGGAAAATAAGGAGGTTCTGCAAATATGCCCATTAAGACCTCAACTGTCCTGGAGGCACCTGGCACAAATGCACCCAGATTATCATCTTGTTATGGGGTTATATTTCCTCCATGGAAACCCCCTAAAACTCAGTGAACTGTTGAAGAACTTTCAGGACCATATATGAAGATCTTTCCTCTACTGAAGTTATGGACAACTGATTTACTTTCCTTCTATTTTGCACCCTCTTTCAAAAAGACATTATAATTATTTTTTTAAATAATTCCTGTTTTGATCTCTTCTGAGATGCAATGATATAGAGATAGTATAAAGATACTTCATCAATAACTCAAGAAATATACATGAGTAGCTTCCTCTCTTTTGATCTGTGGACTGGATAAAATATCACAGAGATTACCTGCCATGGCTGGACATTTGAGATCCTCTTTCCAAGCTTCAGCATGGTTGGTCGTTCTCCTGATCCATATATTGCATGCAATGCGTGTGCCACAGCATAAATGGCATTGTAGATGTTGTAACTTTCACCTGTCATGTTCATTTCGAAAATAAAATCTGGAATATCCTGTAAATTCTCCTTTCCTGTACATTGTTTTTTCCCTCTTGGAGGGACCTTGCCTGGTTTGGGGATATGGCAGTCAAAGAATGTTTCCCACCAATCCAGGAGAAATCTGGCCCCTTCTTTGATCAACTGGTATAAAGACAGGAGGAAGTGGCTGAATTCTGAGACATCACCAGTCTGGTCCCTAAACTGCAAAGCCCCATGCAAGATCTTTAAACCTCGAGAATCCCAAAACCTTGAAAATTTCCAGTGAGAGCTTAGGATCCAAACATTTGGAAGTGGTATCTTTATGGAGTTTACAAAAATAATCAGAATTAGCAAAAAAAAATGCAATATCTTTGGAGTCTCCAAACAGAAGAATCACTTCAGCTTTCAATACAATTTTGACCATTAATTGTTTTCTTAAAGCAATAATTTCATCAGCGTCCAACCTTTCAGTGAAGGCCAGGCAGATCTCCTTCTCCTTGAACATTGACATCATAGATGAGATGAACTGTCCTCCAGTGTCATCTTCAGAGGCCACAAGCCCAACCCAGTTCCACTGGAAATGCAGGAGCAGCTGGACTAAACCCACACACTCCGGAAAGTCACTGGGATTAATCCGGAAGAAGGAAGGATAAACTCTTCTCTCTCCCTGAAAGAACTCAAAGCCAACACCGAGCTGGAGGAAGAGAGAGTCCTCTTTCAAAGACAAACTAAACTTTCCTGATGATTTTAGGGGTCATTGCTGCATGTTTTTTTTACCCACCATTCAGACTGACTTCAATTTACAAGCTTCAGCTTTTCCCCTTCCTAGGAAGGGCT